TGGGGTTTTATTGCCGTGGTTTAGGGCACATTAAACACATCAGCCATGATGCATGATCAATGTGCCCACAACTAAGCAACATAACCGAAGTCTTTGTGGGTAAAAGTAGTTTGCCAAGAGATGTCCTTTTTCATCGTTTTATTAGTTTTTATTTATTTATAATTAAAATATTTCTAAATTAGTTTTTATGTATGTTAAAATTATTTTTTAAATAACTTTAAAGGTGTGTTTCTCGTATTGATTTTAGTACATTTAAAAAAATTAAATTTTTTTATAGTTTCTTAAAACGTAAAATTTAAATTTAATTTATAAGACAATATTTATTTGTTATTAAATTTAACCCTTAAAGTTATCATTGCTTGATTAGTGTTTAAACCCAAGTCTGTGCTAAATTTATTGATTAACTAGAGACAAGTATTTGTCTGTTAGTACGAAAAACATGAGGTGAGAAAAACGTTCAGATTGGATTATTTCTTGCACTTCAAATTAATAAAAATTTTAATTTTGTTGATAAAAGATAGAAGACTAATAAACTAAAATTTTTCCTCTTCACATCAATATTCCTAACTTCTAACTCCGTCCTTGCTCATACCCATGATACATTCTCATGCATTACACCCAAAAAATAGAAGCTCTATAACCATATTCATGTATACTGACTCATACCTATAATTTTTTTATTTATAAATTGCAATTATAGTATTTTTAATGTAATTTTTATATATTTTTAAAATTAATTTTTGTATCACCAAAAGTTACTGACTCATAATCATTAAATTTTTTATATTAAATAATAAATTATATAATAAATAATAATTCCTCTTTTTCCTTGTTTTTCTTCACCCATGATGATATTTCATTATGAGATTTAAATTTGAAATCATCCATTAAAAAAATTTATATTTTTAATAAGTTGAGACACCTTTAAAGTGATTTTTTCTTAGAGATGGAGCTAGCAAAGAACAAGGGAGTTGTCCCCTTAAAGTTTTGAAAACTATTTAATATGATATAAATTTTTTTAAACAAAATTTTATTCTTAAATTTTGAGTTATAGAAATAATTTAAAATTTAAAAAAACATTTATAACTTAATGAAAGGGATCATATTTTTATTATTATAATTTTTTTTGGATGAAATGTAAAATTCATTAATCCAATAATACTTCAAAGTACAATCTAGTAACCATATATAGCTGCTACATAGATACAATCAAAAACTAGTTTACAAGCAAATAACTCGTCTATCAACTAGAGGAAGGAACCCTACCTAACAAAATTTTCCAACGCCTAATGTAAAGCTATCTATCAAGAGAGGAGAGAAGAGCGTGGCTTAGCAAAACCTAAAATTCTATCTCCAACATCTTTTTGAACATTAGTGACAATCACACATTTCGGGTGGAAAAGTTGTTGGTGAATCTTGCAATTCCTCTCCATTCATAAGTGATATACTACAACATTCCATGCAAGCTTAATCAAAGTAATATGCAAAATCAAAGTAATATGCAACGACCTCTTAGTAATTCTCTTTCCCATCCAAACTAACAAACTAGAGCATGAATCAAAGAAAGGAATACCAGCCATTCTTGATAGATTTTGCTAAACCTGTACTGAGAATTCCCACTTAAAAAATAGGTGCTCATATGTTTTAGAAGCTACACCACGTAAAGAACAAGTCTTAATTATAGTTGTTATCTAGTGCTTTTGTCATGCTTTAGTGTTTAACCTATCCAACATAGCCAACCAGCAAATAAAGCTATGTTTAAGAGTAGAATCAAAGAACCAAACTAACTTTGACCATGGAACTTTGATGTGCTTCTCCCTCAGCCAGTTCCAAGTCTTCCCTGTTTGAAAATTACCAAAACCTGTAGGTAACCAAACCATTGTATCCTTTACTCTTTCTTGAGGATATAGATTATCAAACAAAGCAGCTTGTATCTGAACTAAATTCAGTAAACGAGCAAGTGGCCAATTCCAATAATTCCTGTGAACAACCACAGCAAGCTTTGTTTGAGAAGGTATTGCAGCATCATGCACTATTCTAACCCCATAAGCCTCAATCAATGGCTCAGAAGGATGCCAGTTATCATGCTAAACAAAAATATCCTTGCCAAACAAAAAAATATAAATTATATTATCTATTTAATAATAGTGAATTATATATTATTAAAAAAATAATTAAATATATCTAATTAATTTAAATTTTAACATAAATAATATATAACATACACATAAAATT